ACCGCGCGGGGGGGGGCCCCGCACGATTTTTTTTTTTTTTTTTTTTTTTTTTTTTTTTTTTACACAGTGTGTAGCCAAGCTGCAGGGTACTATTAAGGCTAAAATTTGGTACGTTCAAAGGGGAGATTGGGCTATTGTGGGAGAGAATCCACTGAAGTCTGTGTAAATTTGTAGAAAACCACCTTAGGGCTCAAAGCCCTGAGCTGAAAACTGCTGGAGTCTGGGGAAGTGTGCCTGCTGTTTTCCCTAGGCCTGATTATGAGCGTGATCAGAGACAGGATGCTGAATTTGGTGGCTCTTTAGTCTGATCTATTGTGTCTGGTTTTATGCTGAAGTGGTTTGAACTGGAGCCTTGATGTTTGGTTGGGTTTTTTTTTGTGTCAAAGAATTGTTGATTTCATGCAGCGTGTGGTAGTGTCATTGCTCCAGGTTGTAGGTTCTTTATTTTCCCTCTGTGCCATAATAAAAACTTGTGAACTCTGTAACTTTAGGTACTGGAATATCTGAACGACCTGAAGCAATACTGGAAGAGAGGATATGGCTATGACATCAATAGTCGCTCCAGCTGCATTTTATTCCAAGATATCTTCCAGCATTTGGACAAAGCGGTGGAAGAGAGCAAAAGGTAAATGAAAAGGCTTTTGTGCTTTGGCTACAAGCTTTCTGTGGTCAATCCTGAGTTGGATTTAATGTGAATAGAAGTACTTTACTTCCAAATGTAACAAAGTCAGGAGAGTTTGAGCTATGAGAATTTTAATGGAGAGAATCAAATTTTTAATAGAGCAGTATTACTTTAAAGAGTATTTTTTTTTCCTTCCATTGATGCTCTTGTGCCCAGTAATGTATTTCCGTCTTTTAACTTACTGATCCACACAGGCCTTCAAGGGCCAGCCAGCTGCTGTGTCTGATAATGGTGTTCTCTTCCTGCACAGTTTGAGAAGAGGCCATTGTTTTAACTCAATGAGCTTTTTGTTTAAAATGTCCTCGTTAAAATTAATTTGTGGTGAAAATGTAAGACTGTGGGTTGAAAGCATCCCCATGATATGTTCTGTTATCTGGTTACTTAAGCACTTCAGCGTGGAAATCTTTCTTTCTGCGTGTGTTTGATTTGAGTCTCTTGCGTTATTAAAGCTTCAGACTAAAGGTGTTGAAATGTAATCATGGAAAAATAATTATTACAGATCAATCCAAACACTTAGTGACTGTAGATGAGAACGGCCTGTTGCAGGATCCAAGAGGCCGGAGCTGTAACAGCAAACCAGCCTTGTTGTAACACGCCTGCTTTGTTCTAACTAGGGAAGGGCAGACTTTAGGTGATATACTCAGTGCCCTGTAAGAACAGAAGAAAGACACTTCTATCCTGAAGTCGTCGTAAATGCCTTGATTTGTTGGATGAATCTAAAGTCAGTAGTTCAGCTGGCCAGTCCGAGAACTCTGTCTAGGATATTTAGTTTCCCATCCATATGCTTTTAGAGCAAAGCTGTAGTTTGGGAACAACGTTGGAGCTGTAGGAAGATATTAGGCCTTACAAGTAACTGTTAATAGTCTTGGAAATACCATAACGAGGTGTCTCCAAAGGATGGTGGTCTGATAAAATGGTTTGTCTTCATCTATTGCCATGATTTGACAACAGTCAAATGTGTCAGTGGAAGAACAATAGCAGTGGTACTGTATCCACTGAGTTGCGCAGTCCTCAAAACTGCCTTTATAGTATCAGGATATAACCACCCCATACTTCCTTAAAATTAGAGATGAGATGCCTGTGCTCTTTTTGTGTATTGTTTACTCCTATGAGATTGTATCAGTCAGCAGTTGTGATTCAGCATCTGTTTGGTGTTGATCTTGTCTTGTGTGAATTGGTATGATGCAGAGAAGTACAATAGGAATGAAACTGGGATCTGTTGTGGCATGGAGAAAACAAAAGGCTTCAGTTACAGGTTGGGATGTTTGTGTCACAGAATTGCCTACATTTGCTTTCATGTGCTGGTAATCTGTTTTTTTTGATAGCTGCTTTAGGCTTAAATGCAGTGCATTCATATGAGAATTAATTTACAACCTGTGTGCATGCTCCATATGCAAAATGAGGAATTATAAATTCATAGTTTGGTAGTCAATCACATGAATTAATATCTTAGCAGATAAGTGTGGAAACGTTTATAAAAGTACACAGTATCAAGGATGTGATTGTAAGATTATATAAATATTGTGTTGTTAAATACTTGATAGAAACCAATTTATAAATAACTTCGACTTACAACAAGCAAATTCAGCTTTGGTGTTGACACGTAAACGTTTGTTACAGGTGGTGGATGTTCTTGCATTCCTAGCATTCTTGGGACTTTCTGTAGTCGATATATTAAAGTAGATCTACCTAACACCCAACAGAATGATAGTAATGGCTTTGATATTTCAGAAAGAAAAGCATGAGTCATGGATATTTGAGGCTGGCTATACATATTTTTTACATGATAACTTGGTGGAAGACGTGTTTTGTTTTGTTTTTTTCCTTTTAGTTGGCAGACTGAAATTAGAAGTAGCATTCATATTTTGGGTTGGAGGAATGATCCATAAAGTTGATGATAACCATTTTATAGCAGAGAAGACAGGAAAGAAGTTTTTTTCCTTTAAAAGTTTACTGACTGAGGATCCAAGCTGGACATTAACAGTGGTAGAAGAACTGTGTGTTAAGTCAGTTGAAGCATAACTCTCAGTCAATTGGCTTTTTTGCTGTCCTTTAGTGTGGGATGCAGAGAGATACCCTGTGTTCATCACTGGAGCTCTGAGTGATGCAGGAATGTTGAGGTCATGTTTAATACAACACATGACATAGTTTCTTTCATCTAAAGTGGTGTTATTGTTAGGTAAACAGTACTTGGACTGTTTATCTTAATTATTTTTGGGATTCACCTGGAAAATCAGACTGACATGTCTGTTTTTAACGAAGTATCGACTTAGCATGCGAGGAGGTAAATGCGCTGAAAATTTGCCTTTGAGATGTACATGTAGACTTTCCTAACACTTGCATCCAGATTAGTGCCTTGATCCTGCTCTAATGATTATGTAAGCCCAGGGAAGGGGGCTGTACAGGGTTGGAAATGAGAGCTGAGGATGGGAGTATACAGGACTGCTGTGTTGTGGGGCAGTGGCAGTCAGGAGCCTTTCTGAATCTCGCCTGTGCTGTGCATCAGCCAGCACAAAGGAGACACCTCTGTTCATTTTGCCATGAATGGGTTAAAACTTGGCAGTTGGAAACATGAAGTAAGTTTGGTTTTGGGGAGGAGTTGCTGTGAATGAAAAAGATGGGCGGCTAGCAATAGTGACCCCTCTCCAGCCAAGCTGGCTTAAGAAATTGTGCTGTCAAATGATCACTCTGGTGTCTGGAAATTTAAGGCTTGTGTGGGAGTTGGTGATACCTCTTGTTTTGGTAGTTCTGGAGTCAAAGCAGTGGTTACCACCCTTTAAATAAACCTCTTCACTGCATCCTTTCTTCAGCCTACTAGAGAGCTAAATGAAAAATGCATCAGGGCACAGGTCATTAACACCCAACTGTGAACACATTGACAAGCATGCTGCTGTGATTGCCTCTGTCATGTGCTGTGTCTGTCCCTACGAACAGAGAAAGTAAGAACTGGGAATGAGAAGATCAGGAAGAAGTGGAGGTTAAAAGAAAAACAGGCAAGCAAGACCCTAAACACCCCTCTGTCCTTCTGAAATCTGAAAAATAACTTCGAAGTGCAGCTTGGCTCATGTAAGGATAGTGTTCGATTTTGTTTCCTTTTAGGGTAATTTACTCTTCGAACAGTGACAGCCTTTCAATCCTTAAATTATATGCACTTATTGTAGCTGTGTGTCTCAACTGTGTGTAAGATATCCCTGTAAGTTTAATAATAATAAAAAAGCCATAGTTGCCAAAATCTGTATCTATACTTCTGATTCATTGAGAACTAAATCAGCAGTCAGTAAATTACAAGGTGGGGCAGGGTCCCTGGGGAAGAGCAGGTATCTGAGGCAGAGCACTACAGGACAGAGATAGCTTCATCCTGCCTTTCAGCTTTGGCTACAGAAGTCTGGTTGCAATCTCTGGGGCTCTCGTGTTGTATTGCCACCACAGAGGGAAGCAGGTAGTGAATTTATGCGTGTGTGTAAAGGAACAGGACCCTAAAAATCTTGCAAAATTCAAAGCTGGGTGAGCAGTCTGTTGCGTCTGCATCGTGCATTGCCTTGTACAAAAGGAGCGTGTCGCTCCATCCCACAACGTAAGGTGGCAGTCTTAAAGCACTGAAGACTTGTGTATAAGCTGAATTGGGTAACCCGGTGCACTTAAGAATGTGTGGAAATCTGCCACCACCAATGTATTGGAGCAGCTTGTCTCTCTTGTGATCTAGAGAGCAGAGGTGTGACTAATGCTTTTTCATCTAGGGAGAGAGACTTATCCTGGATCCTGTGGCAATATGAGAGTACATATGAAAACAAGAAACCATACAAATAAAAAAATATGCCTGTGTTAATAACAGTAAAAAATGTTTGGTTGTGCATATGTGTGTGCATGAGTGCCTCTCTTTTTTTTTTTTTTTTTTTTTGGGTTTTTGCGCCGTTAAGGCAACAGGGTGCATTTGTGTGTGCATGAGTGCCCCTCTTTTTTTTTTTTTTTTTTTATATGGTATTGTGCAGCTTCAAGGCAACAGGCTAAATACTTGCAGCAGTTCATTTCTCAGAAAATGAACCTTTGTGATGATAAGTCTTAGTGGGATGTTGTTTCAATTTAGCGATGTTTAACATTGTTTTGTAACTGGCTGTTTGTTTTAAAAATTTAAGGACAACAAATTTATGGCCAAAGCATTATCTTTGCTCCAAGTTCTCCTTTCTTTCTGGAAAGCTTAGATTGGGCTATCCAAAAGTAGAAGGGGGAGCGTTTCTGTTCCAGCAAGAAGCTGAGGGATCTGGATTATCCATTCTGCTTCAGGCTTGGCAGTGGAGAACAGTGTTGGCAACGCTGCATTTTTGTAGCATACTTTAAGTATTCAGTAGCTTTGTCCTGTTTTCATTCCCAGTTACAGCTGAATTTAAAAGAGAAACCTTGCTTTTTTTGTAACTCTGTTTCTTCCATGAAGTGATTCTTGACCTTGCTATCTGATTGCTCACTGCGCTTAGTTGCCTTATTAGTTGCCTTGTTAAAGCTCCCTTTTCTTTCTTCCGGGGAAAATATCTTCTGCTGATTAGTCTATCCTTAAGAAAATTATGAAGGTGGTAATAAATACCTATTGCTAATTAGCCCTACCTTCAATTTGCAGTGCAAAAGTTTCAGTCATTTTTAGGATCTTTCATCATGTGAATTCTTGGTTTAAACTAGCAATAGTCTCTTCTGTGTAGGTCTTGCTGTACAGCAAGATGGTTTGAAGGCTGTGAAAGGGATTTTCACTATATGATTGCTCTCGTCAACTGTTCCCATCCAGACAGCTGGTGGAAAGGTGTTGGAACTTGAATTCAGGAACTTGAATTTATTGATAGTTGTATTACTGACCACCTACTGTGAGCACACTCATGCGTGGACCCCATTCTTCTGCACCCTCAGTAGTAATAAAGTATAAGTGTCTAATAGAGGTCAGTTCTTCAGTAGAAAGCATC